ACATTTAGCCAAAAGCATCAGTGATGCTGATTGAAATCTATTTTTGACTATTCTTTCTTACAAAGTGGCAGAAACTGGTAAAGAAATAGTTAAAGTTGATGCCAAAAATACAAGTCAGATATGTAGTGAATGTGATAATCAAAGAGAACAAAAACTCCAATTAAGTCAAAGGAAATTCATTTGTTCTTTTTGCCCTTATTCAGACAATCGAGACATAAATGCTGCTCGTAATATTCTCAAACGAGCAGAGTGGAACACTTCTTCCTTACCAAGCAAGGGAGGAGAATGGGTCGGTTCGACCCTTCAAGGAGCAGTCTCAATGGAGGCTGTGTAGAATTGAGAAGCTCCTACTTCAAACTCATAAGAGTTAAGTGGGGGTAGTTCACTCATCAATCTAAGATTATATTTACTATAATCTTATTTTTTCTTTTTCTCCTACTAATTCGATCCCTTCCTCTAAAATCTCCACTATCTTTCTCCTTTTTTGGTAAGCAATCTTAACTAATAAATCATAACTAACCGGGGATATTTTAGTAGTTAAAGGGTGAGTTCTTTTAGTAATTGAATAAGAATTGTCTTTCTTGGTCGCTAGTCCCGGTTCTGCCACTGGACCATCTTTTCGGCTAACTTCTCCCTTTTTTAAATTGTCACTACCCATAGTAGGAGCTTGCTTTTTTCACTTTTTTAAATTAGTAAATGGCATTTTAAGTAATAGTATTGATTAATTCTTCTAAAAATTTTTCAGTTTTAGTTTTTAGCGAGGGATGCAATATTTCAGTAATAGCCCAACCTTCATTTTGAGCCAGTCCATAACTAACTCGCTCAGGCAAACTATTTTTAAGCACTTTATAAGGAGTGGTGGCTAAATAATCCCGAGCATCTTTTTCACTATTAGTATTAAGCACTTGATTAAGAGCCAAAATTAATTTATCTTTCTTAATCCCTGCTTTGACTAAAGAATTATAATCAACCACAGCAGGTTCTAAGTCATCTAAATAAGGCTTAACGGGTTGGATAATGTAATCAGCTTGCTTGGCAATCTCCTTGGTCATGGCACTAATCATAGCCGGACCATCAATAATTAGTAAATCATATTTTCCTTTTTGAGCGGCTTGGTAGGCCGTAGCAAAATCACTAAAAACTTGAACTGCAACTTTAGGCTCCCGTTCTCGCCTCTTACTCCACTTATAACTAGTCTCCTGCCCTGGATCACAATCCGCGAGCAGAGTTTTTAAACCGGCTCGGGTAGCCTCTACAGCCAAAGCACGGGCTAAAGTAGATTTTCCTACGCCGCCCTTTTGACTAATAAATGCGATGATTTTCATATTTTTATCCATAAATTTCTCAATATAAATCAATTAATTCCTCAAAATCTAACAATGCTAAAACTTTCTCACCAATTTCTTTCATTTCCTTTTCACTTAAAACTCCTAATCTCTCTTCTTTCTTAATTAATCTCGTTTCATTATAAACCTTTATCTGGTCGCACAAGGCTTTACCTTTTTTTCCACCTACTATAACCGGAACTTCAAAGTCATAAATCTTATCTCATTTTTTACTAGTAATTGGCACCGCCACAAAGCGAATATTTTTCTTATTTAAGCGATTAGTAGAAATAATTACTGCTGGGCGGTCTTTTTGCTGTTCGGTGCCTTCAGTTTCTGCCACTTTGTAAGAAAGAATAGTCAAAAATAGATTTCAATCAGCATCACTGATGCTTTTGGCTAAATGT